GTTGGGCTGCAGATTTGAGCCAGCTGCTGATCAATCAACTGAAGTTGTTATGAAGAATTCAAGCTCTGATAATAGCTGCGGAGACCCCAAGGAAGACGACCCGACTGAGATATGGCCACCTAGCAAGACTTCGAAGACAACAAGAAGTGGGGATGATGACGTTTCACAACAAACCCATTTAAAGAAAGCTAGGGTTTCTGTCAGAGTTAGATGCGATGCTCCAACGGTTAGTATATATCAAACTTAATTTAACCTTTCAAGCATAATTTTCATGCATGCCATCAACATTATACTGAAAGTTACTTGCATGCTAGCTTGCTTGAATAATTTAATAACACCTTTGATATTATCGGGCTAAGCTTATATTGTCAGATTGTAAATGTAGATCACATATTCAAGTGGAAAAATTAACCTAATCAATGATTTAGATTCACAATCTTTGTATGTTGCTTGACAACATGATTCTTCATCATGACATGCACGGCTAGCTATTTTATATATACTTGATCATGGATTAATCGAATATTGTTTTATAGATGAATGATGGATGCCAATGGAGAAAATATGGACAGAAAATAGCAAAAGGAAATCCATGCCCTCGAGCGTACTATCGCTGCACTGTCTCACCATCCTGCCCTGTGAGAAAACAGGTATACATATATCTTCTGATCCTCAAATTATTTGAATATATTTTATTGCAAGCATAAGAAAAAGAAACTATTAAATAGCATTGCTTGGATGGTTAGGATATGAAATTTGTTATTGTTCAACTTTCAGGTGCAAAGATGTGCTGATGACATGTCCATACTAATCACAACCTACGAAGGAAGCCACAACCATCCACTTCCTATGTCAGCCACAGCCATGGCCTCCACCACCTCCGCTGCGGCTTCCATGCTTCAGTCTCACTCCTCCACCTCCCAACAAGGCCACACCGCCACAGCACCCATCTCTGCCTCCACAAACCTCCAAGGACTAAACTTCAGTACAAGTACTCTCTCCCAAAATTCAAGACTACCACAACACTTCTATTTCCCCAACAGTTCAATCTCAACCACAAATTCCCACCCAACCATCACTCTTGATCTTACTGCTCCATCTCCCTCTCACTTTGGAAGATTTCCTGCAGCTGTCTTCTCTTCCAACCCAAGATATCCCTCCACATGTCTCAATTTTTCCTCATCTCCCTCCTCTTCTTTAGACCACAACAACCACACATTGCAGTTGCAAGCACCTTGGAACAACAATCACACAGCAGCTGGCTATTTGAACTACGGGAATAGAGTACTTAACCAAGTTGGGTCAGCTCTAAGCATGGGAAAGCAATCAATATTTCAAGAACCTAATAATTTGTACCAATCTTACATACAAAATCAGAACCCTCCTCCTCCTCCTCCTCTTCCTCCCCCTCCTCATCAGCAGTTGATGCTAACAGAGACAATAGCCTCTGCAACAAAAGCAATCACATCAAACCCTAAATTCCAATCAGCATTAGCAGCCGCACTCACATCATTTGTTGGTACTAATAATGGGGGTAGTGCTACTACTGGGGTCAGAGAAAATAATCATCAGCATCAAAGTAGCACTTCTACAGAAAGTGCATCTGGGCTGAAATTGAAGTGGGCTGAATCTTTGACAGCAAATCCAATCTACCCACCAAGCCCAAATGGAATAGGGTGCGCATCAAGCTGGTTGAACAAATCTTCTTGATTATTGATTCGTATTATCTTCCATAGTTTCTAGCTAGCTAGTCTTGGAGCAGGGGATGGTGTAATGTAAATTAATTAAAGACTAATACAGGTTGTAAAATTTTATGTTACAGAATTCACATTATTATAATCTAACATATTTTGTGGGCCAGGCCCAATAAACCCAGTAGGCCCAAGTAAATGAACCCAACTACTTCCAAATAAACCTAAAGCCCAATGCGCATCCACCTACCTACACATGGCAAAGCTAGCTTCATGCATGCAAAAACAGAGAAATAGGGTACCAAATATCAATTGGTTCTGGAAGAGTGTTGGAAATTAGAAAGTTACTAGCAATGATGCATGCGTGATGTTGCGGGTTTTGAAATCGTGCGAAATGTGTATAAAGTCTTGAAAATATGTAGGGAAAATGGTACCATTTATATAATGACAAACTACGGTAAACCCCCCAACTTATAGGATTATTTACGAGTTCATATCAGATTTTGGGGATATTTACCAGTACATACTCAACATCGCGAAAACCCTACAATTTGCTCTCTCCGTTAGCCAAACCGTTAGTGAATCTATTAAATGCTGACGTGACGAATGTGAGTTCCATTTTTTAATGAGGTGGACAAATAAAAAATAAAAAATTATCTTTAAAATAATAAAAAAATCAAATTAAAACTAAAAAATCAAATAAAATAGAAAAAGGTAAAAAGACACAAACAGCCCCATTCCATCCCCTCCCTTCCAGCAACCCACCCTCCTTACACCCTCCGAGCCATCACAACCCAGTTCTGCAACCAACCAGCCAAAGTTGCTAGGGAGGAAGAGACGACGAGTGGATGGTGTCGCACGCTACCGACTGGGAACGGTCAATCCGAGAAGGGCAACGATGGAATCGCGAGGACCTATGAGCGACGACAACTCCACCGGTGCCAGATGACGTTGTGGGGTTTAGGTTCGCTACGTCGGAGCCTCGCTAGTTGAGCGAGGCAGGCCATGTCACGAGTTGAGCTTGGGGAAGTCCATTCCTTGAAATATACTGAACGAATTCGAATTTTTGTATTTTTCTCAGCCAAGCATTTTCTATTTCATAGGCACTGACTTTTTAGATGTTTAGATGTGGTTTTGTTTTGTTTAATGAGGAAAGGCAGATGATGAACGTAACTGTGCTATTTGTGAGAGTTCAAATCTCGCTTCTTTCTGTGGGGAAGATGGTGGATACAAGGGAAATGTTTATGCCCCCACCAATGAAAAGCCCACAACGCAAAACACTTGGATTGCTAGCATGGCAATCTTTTGGCCGTCGATGTCTGATGTCTGTCTTGCTCCTAATTTAAGCCATTGATTCACTTTGCAAACTTTTGGGTCCTGCTTTTTGGGTCAACTCTTTCAATAATAACATTTTGTTTTTGATTTATTTATTTCAATAATAATGAAAAATGTAAAATCAATTGAGTTATTTCGGAAATTTTGATTGTCATGAAAAAAAAATATAGGTGTTTAACTTTTAATTTGGCTAAAAGTCACTTTTGGTCCATATAGTTTGACACTTCAACTACTTTTGACCCTATAGTTTCAATTTCGACAATTTTGACCTTGTAGTTTCGTATTTGTAGCAACACAATGACAAGTTAGTATTCATGTCAATTTCTTTATCGATGTAAAAGGGCAACTTCGTCAACCCAAAATCCTTGAGCATAAAAGCTCGTCTAAAACTCCCCTAATTTCTTGAAATTGGTCATTTGGGTTTAGGGTTTTTCAAAAATTAGGATTAGTGGTTGAATTTCGAGCCTTTATATGAAATGAGGAGAATCTCAAATAAGTTTTTATGAACAAGGGTTTTGGGTTTACGAAATTGTCCCTTACATCATTAAAGAAATTGACAAGAATACTAATATGTCCTTAAATTGCTACAAATACAAAACTACAATGGCAAAATTGACGGAATTGAAATTACAGAGTCAAAAGTGATTGAAGTTCCAAACTATAGGGACCAAAAGTGACTTTTAGCCTTTAATTTTTTTATTAAATAAATTAATACTTCCACTTTTACCTTAACAATACATGCTATGGAAATTTATGAACCTGATGAGTTATTATTAAATTCGAAGCTTGGACATCCAACTATATATAATATAAATCTTTTCATGATTATGTTTCATAATAGTGTGACAATTATTTGGAGTGGTGAGCATTTCTAGCTCCAAAGTTTACAACTAAATACTTCTCTTTCGAGGGTCTATTCAATTACATTACAAATACTTTGAGCATTGAACTACAATGATGAGATGAGCAATGAGGGAAAATACTTTGTATCAAAGTTTTGGTTGGGATGAAGAAAAAGAAAACAAGGTTTGAACATATCTAAGTTCAAAATGGTTGTTACATTGGCTTTTGCTCCTTCGGCACTCTCTGCAACTTCCTCCACTTGAGGTGGGTGTCATACGACCGCCCAGAAAAGACCATGAAAACAGACCCCCATTGCTTTGTTGACATAGGATTGCCACTCAGCAAGGAAGACACCACAATGCTTACTAACTTGCGGGTAGTGGTACTAATGATTGTGTTGGCTTGGTGGTCTTGCGGTGGATGAGGGGAATTCTATGTCTACTACCAGGTACAACTTTTTTACATTTTGCCGAAAGGACAATCTGAACAGGTAATTTATTTACTGGCTTCCGGTCTGCATGGATATGGTTATATTGGAATTAGAAGTTTTTATGTGATTTGCTCTGGAAATTTCTTATTCTTATTTTTAAGATAACTTCTTATTATTCTTCTTTTGGATTTCCGACCAAAATCGGATAAAGGGATTGGATTTCCGACCAAAATCGGGAATTATTTGGGGTCGGTTTTGGGGATTAATATTCGGATTAAAAAGAAAAAGAGCATATTTTTCTGGGCCAGGCCCAAGTAAATGCTTAATTGACCCCAATTAATTCCGAATAAAACTAGTAAACTCGAAAGCCCAACACGTATCCACTTACACATGACAAAGCCGGCTTCATGCATGCAGAAACAGAGAAACAGGTAACTAACTGGTTCTGGGAGGAGAATGATCTGAGAACCCAAAAACCAAATTCTGAAAGCCACAAACGTTGAGGTACCAAATACCAACCAATCCTCTAGCATTAATTTTCTTCATCTTTCTTTAGCTGTTAAACAATTTCATGGTTTTTTTGTTGAGAATTGTATTTTAGAGTATAGTAATTGCTTATTGAGCCATAAATTAATCAGAAAAATCAATCGATTGTGATCTAAGGGGATATTGCAAATTGCTTTTGTGCCTCTAGTGTACATATGGCACATCAACCCCAAGAACAAAAGGTCGAGAGTCCTAAAATCTCGGCCTACGATGCCTACTTCGAAACAGTCCAGTCCAGGAAGAAATTACCAGGTCCCCTACAAGAGAATTTGACATTTGCATTTTCAAAAGTTCCAGTTTCAGCTTTCCAAGGAGTTCCTGGAGGCAAAGGTAAATAACAATAATACCAATAGTTATCTGCTTCAAATTAAACATTGCCCTCTAAAAGTCTCTAAAAGTTTCATGATTTGCAGTGATTGAGATTGGAGCGGATACATGTATTGCTGACGCAGTGAAGGTTCTGTCTCAACACCACATTTTGTCAGCTCCTGTGAGGAACCCAGAAGCAGAGGAAAATGCAGATTGGAGTGACAAGTACCTTGGGATCGTAGATTACTCAGCCATTCTTCTTTGGGTGCTGGAGACTTGTGGACTTTCTCCATCAGTTTGTTCAGCAACTGTTGCTGGAGTTGGTGGGGCAGGAGCTATGGGAGCCATTGGAGCTGTTGCATTGGGTGTCACAGGTCCTGCTGCAGTTGCAGGCCTAACTGCTGCTGCAGTTTGTTCTGCTGTGGCTGGTACTGCCCTCGGCAAAATAGGTGAAAACATTGCTACATTTTGAAAACAGTAGGAAGATAAAATAAAAAAAGGACATTCGTGCACCTCGTCTAAGTGACATATAAAGTGAAGACTAGGTGTCACTTGAACAAATGGTTACTCGTTTATAATTTTACACAATTGAATAGTTAATCTTTTCTCTCCTCGCGGAGAGAATGCATTCTAAATTGGATCCACAACAAGCAGTTTGTGGATTCTACTTCTGTTTTGGCTCATCAAAGATAACCAAAAAAGTCATTGGGGAAAACCATATTTTCTAACAGGTACGGCTGCAGAGAAAGGGGAGGGCAAAGATTCTCCCACAGGTGCCAATAATTTGAGCGAAGATTTCGACAGCATTATACTACAAGATGAACACTTCAAGTCAACCACAGTAAGTTTATCTCTACCAGAAGAATCACTTGAATTAACCATACATGAAATTTACTTGAATGTTTCAGGTGAGGTCAATACTTAAATCGTTCCGATGGGCGCCATTCCTTCCAGTTGGGACAGACAGTTCTATGTTGAGTGTCATGCTGCTACTCTCAAAATACAGAATGAGAAATGTACCTGTAATAGAACCAGGCCAACCCAACATCAAAAACTTCATTACTCAATCAGCAGTTGTTCATGGTCTTGAGGGGTGCAAAGGAATGGAATGGTTTGACTGCATTGCTGCAAAGCGCATCTCTGATTTGGGGCTTCCTTTTATGGTCTCTAATGAGGTAAGGTTGCCTAGGCAGGCCTCTGGTTATTTACTTCGGAATTTGGAGTTTGAATATTAATAATGTTCCTCTGTATTCTTGGGCAGGTTATTAGTGCAAATATCAATGATCCAATACTAGAAGCTTTCATGAAAATGAGAGAGAACGAAGTTGGTGGTCTTCCAGTTGTGGAGGGGACAAAGAAGAAGATAGTAGGTAATGTCAGCATAAGCGATATCAGATACTCTTTGCTCAAACCAGAGCTCTTCTCCAATTTCAGGTATTAAAAGGCAAGCTTTGGACCATTTTCACCTACCCTTTTCACAAGTTACATTCTTCTTTTTATTTTATTTTTATACAACCGATATTGGGGGAGGGAGGGAATCAAACCTAGGACCTCAAATAGAGGGTTTCACAAGTTACATTAATTTGAAGCACTAATCTGCATAAACTGATTTCTGTCAAAGAAATAACAAAGCAATGCTTGGTTTGACTTTGCCCCTATCTCTCTTTCAGGAATCTGAGTGTTAAGGACTTCATGAGCGCCATATCAAAAAACCAGGGGAAAGCAATGTCACCAATTACATGCAATCACCAGTCCAGTCTTGGTTCTGTGATTGAAACCCTAGCTTCCAAGTCGGTGCATAGGATCTATGTGGTGGATGGGGAGGAATGCCAAGTTGTTGGTGTCATTACACTCAGAGATGTGATTTCTTGCTTCATTTCTGAGCCCCCCAACCACTTTGATGCCTACCTGGGCTTTGCCGTGAAGCAGATAATGAAGCACTGAGACATCAGTTTATTAAAAATCATACATATGAACATAGTAAAAAAAAAAAAAAAAAAAAAAAAAAAAAAAAAAAAACAATTGACTATTGAGTAGCAAAATTTACCCTTCTCAAACTAAAGCCTGGGAGGTTGGCAGCTCTCTTGATAATTTTTATATTGTATAAACTAATACAGGTTGCTTGTAGAATTTTATAGAATGATAGAATTGAGCTTAATTTTGAAACCTTTCAAGTAAGATATTCCAACATTAATAAATCATGTCAAAAATTAAACACTAACTTCTCACTAAATAAGACGTAATGTGTGTAACCTGTTTATTAAATAAGTTAAGTCAGGCCATATTGTTCTTAATCTGTTAATCCACAGATTATACCACTAACAAAACAAAAAAAACCTATTATACGAATTCTATAATTGTAACTACGGAATCTGATCCCTAAATAAATAGAAAAGGCAAAGTTTTCTCAAAAGGAAAAACAGAGCAATGTAGAGATTAGTGCAGATGGCAGGTAGGTTCTTGTGTATCTGCACAAGCGATTCACGATTCCTGGGCCAGGCCAGGCCCAACTTAATTATTTAGTAATCAACTCGGTCCCATGACAAGTGGTGAGTTGAAGACCCGACACTTGTCGGGTTCCTCCACATGGCAAAGGCAGGCTTCTTGCATGCAGAAGCAGAAGCCAAGGTAACTGTTTCGGAGAAGAGAAGCATCAAAGTTTCCACAGAACAGCAACCAATACCAGTTTCTGAATCCATTGGAAGAAGCACAACGTATTTGGTGGAGGTATCCAATATAAACCAATCCTTGAGAATTTTATTTAGTTTTGTTTTTGGTCTTCTCTGCTAACTACAATAGATTTGGATTATTTTGTTTATATATGCAAACTCATAGGATGCAATGTAACTCTGCAATGGTTTCTTGATCAAAATTTTATTTATTTTGTTGTTTATTAAGATCTCTTATGTTAATCAGCGTAATCTGAGGCCGAATTAACCATACATGATCAAAATTTAGAAGCTGAAAAAACCATTTGGTTGGAACCCTGAAATTTGTTTTCTTGAGCATATTGATCTCACCCCAGAAGGGCGAGCCAATCGTACAAATCAAATGAATTATGGTTTCTGAAAGGGAATTCTAAAATTCTACGTCTTCATATGAATGAAGCCATTGAATAGTTTCCAATTTCTGCCTCTAGCGCATATATGGCACAACCACAAGCACAAGAAGAGATCACGGAAAGATGTAAGATTTCAAGCTACGATGCCTACTTCGAGACTATCCAGTCCAGGAAAAAACTACCTCGTTCGCTGCAGGAGGTTTTAACATCTGCATTTGCAAAAATTCCTGTTTCATCTTTCCCGGGAGTACCTGGAGGCAAAGGTAACAATTCATCACTGTCTCTCATTTATTTGGACAACATAGGAATTGAATGAGATAACTAAAACAGTGCCCTATTACATTATTATCTGCAGTAATTGAGATTGGAGCAGATGCATCTGTCAGTGATGCCGTTAAGATTCTTTCCGAACACAACATTTTGTCGGCTCCTGTGACAAACCCAGAAGCAGAAACAAGTTCAGATTGGAGGGAGAGGTACCTAGGACTCATAGATTACTCTGCCGTTATTCTTTGGGTGTTGGAGAGTGCAGAACTAGCTGCAGTTGCTCTGTCAGCGACTTCGGCAACAGCTGCTGGAGTTGGTGCAGGGGCAGTGGGCGCTGTGGGGGCACTAGCATTGGGTGTGACTGGTCCTGCTGCAGTTGCAGGTTTAACTGCTGCTGCAGTTGGGGCTGCTGTAGCTGGTGGTGCAGCTGCGGACAAAGGAATGGGCAAAGATGCTCCCACGGCTGCTGATGAATTGGGCAAAGACTTTTACAAAGTTATACTGCAAGATGAACCCTTCAAGTCAACCACAGTAAGCTTATCTCTACCATGAAGATTCTGTGTAGAGTATTGGTTGCCTTTTGAACACAGAGAGCTATATCTGTCAATTCTGAATCACTTGGTTCCACTTCTTCAAAAAATAAATTGACGAGCATATTGCTGTATCTATATTGCAGAGTACCCTGTTTGTGATTTGGAAGCAACCACATTAATAGGGACTGTTGCTCTTGTACTCATTTAAGTTATCTGACTGAATGGCCGTATGTGATATGTACTTGTGTGTTTCAGGTAAGGTCAATACTAAAATCCTTCCGCTGGGCACCTTTCATTCCATTAGCAACAGATAGTTCTATGTTGAGCGTTATGCTACTACTTTCAAAATATAGGCTGAGGAACGTACCTGTAATAGAACCAGGTCAACCCAATATTAAGAACTACATTACTCAATCGGGACTTGTTCAGGGTCTTGAGAGATGCAAAGGAAGGGACTGGTTTGACTGTATTGCTGCGAAGCCAATCTCTGATTTCGGACTTCCTTTTATGTCATCTGATGAGGTAAGGTTGCCTGGTCACCGAAACATTCATCTCGCTGGCTGGGGAATTTGGAGTCTGAATATTATTGTTCCTTTGCTTTCTTCACCAGGTTATTAGCACTGGGAGCAATGATCTAATACTGGAAGCTTTCAAGAAGATGAGAGATAACCAAATAGGTGGTCTTCCCGTAGTAGAGGGGCCAAAGAGAAAGATCGTTGGTAATGTCAGCATGAGAGATATCAGATACTTGCTGCTCAAACCCGATCTCTTCTCCAATTTCAGGTATTCGAAGACAAACTTTGAACCATTTACCCTGCCCATCCTTTGCAGAAATTACATTGTGCGCTTGGTCCACACTATGGACTGTAGAGTGCTTTAATCCTCTCAACTTCATGGACTAAACATTCACCATTGGATGCCCTGCCGTTTACTTTGATAGTGAGAAAGGATCTAAAATACCTACGAATGAAATTGAACTCATGTAGTTGTGAATTTGAACTAATCTGCTTGCACTGATTTCTATTATAAATAAAACCATGGCTTTGATTACTCATCAGAGGCAATCACCTGCTCCTTTTCTATATAGACATCTTGCAAGTCAGTCTTGATGGACTACTTAATCCGTGTGCCTCTTTCTTTCAGGAAGCTCACTGTTAGGGACTTCATGAGCACCATCACAACAACCCACGAAATTGGAAAAGTCATCCAACCAATTACATGCAAGCTGGAGTCGACTCTTGGCAATGTGATTCATAGTCTTGCTTCCAAGTCCGTTCATAGGATCCATGTGGTTGCTGGGGAGGAAGGGGAAGTTGTTGGTGTCATTACACTCAGAGATGTGATCTCTTGCTTTATTTTTGAACCACCAAACCACTTTGATGACTACATGGGGTCTGCAGTGAAGGAGATGTTGAACCAGTGAGCCTTCTGTTTGTGGAAAACTTATATGGAGATGCAGAGACAGTATCAAAATTTTCGTTTGGGACCATAAAACATTTGACATTGAGTTGTAGTTGTTTGTTTCGTGTATCTACTTTTGATGTATTCTTAATAAACTAAAGCCAGGGAGCTTTCTCAGTGTTTTATCATTCATCAATCCTCTAATCTTTTCTGCATCCTCCCACCTGCCAAGTGCAGCATATATCTTTGACAGGATCACGAAAGGTGTTGGGTTCTCTGGTTCTAATTCTGAAAGTTTTATAGCCATTTCTTTCCCCAGTTGTGAATCTAAATGAGATTCACAAGCACCTAGCAAAGATGCAAAAACTGCTCCAGAAGGCTCTGATAATTCTTGTATCAACTCTCGGGCTTCATCCAACCTGCCAGTTCGACCCAAAAGATCAATCATGCAACCAAAATGAGCTGGATTTGGTTTAAGACCATAATCTCTGTTCATCATCCTAAAAACTTGCCATCCTTTGTCCAGTAAACCAGTGTGACTGCACATAGATAGAAGACTGGTGAAAGTTGCTGCATTAGGTTGTACTTTTGCTTCCAACATCTGGTCAAAGATCCCAAATGCAGATTCATTATCTCCATTCCTTCCATACCCAGATATGATTGCGTTCCAAAATGCAGGATCATTAGGTTTTATCTGAAACCAATCAAAAATTCTTCTTGCCCAAGAAGACTGCCCACATTTCATGTACATGTCAATAAGAGCAGTGGAAATGAACAGATCATTGCTAATAGAGGTTCTAATTGCAAGCCCATGGACCTCTTTTCCACATTGCAGAGCAGATAAATCTGCACACGCTGGTAGAAGACTTGTGATAGATTTTAAACTTGGGACGACACCAGCTGATTGCATTCTCCTAAAATACACAAAAGCTTCAATCGCCTTCCCTAGTTGTGAAAACCCACTGATCATGGAATTCCAAGTAACCGAATCCGGTTTAAATCCTTCAGATTCCAACTGTTCAAATAGCTCAACAGCATTCTCATTCTGCGCATTCAACATCATTCCAGAAATCATGGCGTTCCATGTAAACAAATTCCTGTTTTCATTTAGTTCTTTGAAAGTACCATATGCCAGCTGCCAACAACCACACTTAGAATACATGTCCACAAGTGCTGTTCCAAGCATAGCATCAAGCTCCACTTTAATTTTCATCATCAACCCGTGAACCTGCTTGCCAAATCGGAGATACAAAAGACTAGCACAGGCAGAAAGAACAGACAGCAACGTAACTGAATTGGGATTTTCACCTGTACATGCTTTCATTTTCTTAAAAATATCCAACACCACATGAGGAACCCCATTCTGCAAAAGCCCTGAAATAAAAGCATTATAGCTCACTATATTCTTGATGGGCATTTCTTCAAACACCTTTGCAGCCGAAAACAACCCTCCGCAGTTCGAATACATAGTCAGAACCGAGGTAGCAACATAAACATCATTCTCAACACCCAGCTTTACCGCCAAGCAGTGCATTTCCATGCCATGCTCTACATTTCCACATGCAGATAACATACTAGCTATCGTAACTGAATTGGGCCTGAACCCTCCAGGCCCTACGTTCTTAAATAACCGCAAAGCCTCTCTACAGTACCCATTTTGCAGAAAACCTGTAATCACCGCATTCAACGAAGCCAAGTTCCGTTCAGGCATTTCTTCGAACACCTTCACTGCGTCGCCGATAAGATGAAGTTTCATGTACACATCGGTGAGAGCCGTGGCCGAATAAACATCAGCCGAAAACCCAGTTTTCATAAGATGGGTATGCAGAATTTGGGCATGTGGGGCTGATTGAAGCTTGCCACAAGCTTTGAGAAGAGGAGGGAATGTGAATTTGTGAGGACGCAAAGAAGCAGAGTGGAGCTGAGCGTATAAGCAGAGGGCATCTCTGTATAACCCATCTGCGACAAGTCGAGCTATTTCGCGCTTCATGGGTTGGTTGGTTTTCAAAAATGGCTCGCATAACCAAAATGCAAATTTCTGTTGCCTTCTGCTTGCTTCGTTTTTTTTTTTTTTTTTTTTTTTTTTTTTTTTTTTCTTTTTCTTTTCTTTTTTTTTTCTTTTTGGATTTTGGAATGGGTTGGGCTATGATCAAGTACAAAAATGTGGTAAACATAGAAATGGGCTTTTGAGTTTGGCCCAATCCCCCAGCAAGATTTGTTGGCGCAGCCGACGAGCATGGCATGTGGTGTGGGGATATAGCCCCACAAGGATGATTCCAACTTAAATGCAAAAGGTCATACTCATTGTTTTCATTAATTTTCACATATGCTAATTAATTGTGTCAATTTAGTTATTATTATTATTATTATTTTTTATCAAATAAATACTTTATTTAAACACAATAAACAACTGGCATATCAATACATGAGATTGCCAAGAAAAGACAATCTGCAACCCAACTATGAAAGTCGCAAACAAAAACGTATTTTTATAAGACATACTTTCACAAATAGGTCCATTCTATCATAACATATTATAAAATGAAAGAAAATCCTTATAATGCTTATTTGTAGAGAAAAGCCAAAATAGCCACTTGTCATAATCTAAAAACCAATTAAAAAATAACAAATGGTTAATTATGAATTTTTCTCTCTAAATAAATTCTATATGAGTCTTTATATAATATATTATATTAAAATAAGCTTATTTGATAAACATGTCATGTTTACGTATTTATGAGCCAAATTAAAAAATTTTAAAAAAATATTGTATATTCTGCAATGTAGATGTTAGTGCAAGAATCTTTTCTTTGTAAAAAGCCATCCACTACTTTCTTATCGTTTTATGAGAGAAGCATTTCCCTCTGCTGTCTCATTTGAAATCGATCACAATTTGACGAGGAATCAATATCAAGCAGATTCTCTAATTTATTTCGTACCACATACCATACCAGTCTAGTAATAATTATAAGTCTTGAGTTGCTTTTAATGAAGTTCCAGCTATCAATTATTTTTTGGGTTTTAAAAATAATATCAACGCAAGTTAACCAATGATTGAATTTGGATTTGTGATTACCGCATTTGACTTTTATAAAGTGACTTGTTGGTCCTATTTGATGGAAATTAAGAAATAATCTGTGCATGCATGTATCTATTTTGGATTTCTGATTACCACATTTGACTTTCTTTAGAAATGTCATTATTATGGTGGGTGCATCATTTTAGTCCAATTTCTCATTTATTTGTTTTGCCAATTGCACAATTTTCCGAATGTAGTCAATTTCTCAATAATAACGACTTGGAAAATTACTTTTTCAGAAAATCTAAGTTCATATTCATTGAGACTTTTATCATGATTGAATCAATATGATTGCGTAGCTTCTCACAGTTGTAATGAAATTTGGATCGCAATTTAGACAAACAATGTTAATGTTGAGAGTATCATGACATGTATCATCGATGTAAGTTTTGCATTAATAGTTTAAATATACTCGCATTCTAATATAGTATATGAACATTCAATTTATAAGTTAGGGCCCAATTGATCAAGTCGGAGTATGATAAATTTTTTTTTTCTTCAATAAAAGAAATACAATATAGTGCATGAAAAATGTAGTAACACATCATTTTATACAATACGAAATTTCACCTTGATTTATTTTACTAATTGAGCTTAGGTTGATTTGAGCCAGAGTTGATCTTTCAAGCAGCCAAAGTTCCAACAACAAATGCAAAAATAGAAGCAAAATGAATATTTCTCACTAATTTGATAAATTATTATAAGAACGTGAATTGCATAAATTATTATTTAATTGCGTGATAAGATTAATAGTATGTAGTATAATAAAAGGTAAAGCGTCAGTTTATCCTCTAAACAATCAAGTTGGTTTGAAGTTACATTCCGATTATTATTTTAGTCAATTTAGGACTTAAATTAAGGTAAAGTTAGTCAATTTAGGACTTTACAAATTCATCCGATTTGCCGCCAATTAGGTCATTTTTTATTACGATGCAGAAAAGAGAGTTCCAGATGGGGGGTTATTCTCCTGCTCAGAGAAGAGGTACCTAGGACGAGCGAACATTGGAGATGGCAAATATGAGGCTTTATTTTATAGTAAATAATGTATGACACACATAATAATAATATAAGCCGAATACTAGACATGAAATTGATCTGGTGATGATGAGTGGCATCCTCATTGGCATGCTGGCAATTTTTTTTCCCTGTGCCTGAATATAAATCAAATCATTCCAACTTAAATAACTTTTAACCTAAAAATAATCTCTCCATCTCTCTATCTACCCCTTTCCTTTTCTCTCCTTCTTTCTTGGTCGCCCGTCACCGTGAAAATCCATCTCTGACACCGTTTCTCTATCTTTATATATCTATCTGTTTGTTTCGCGGCAATTCCTGAGCTGCCAAGTTTTCCCTTTTGATTCCCGCGATTCTGGACATCTGTCTCTGAGAACCAAATTCTCTCGCCGTCAGCCGACAGGTGTTTTTCATTTTTAGCTTAATTTTTCCCTTTATTATATTACGCATATCTTAATTGAATTGTGCTCCGATTTGTGGTCTGTATGGAAGCTGATTTCGAAGAAGATCTAGTTTCTTAATTGCATTACAAGAAAATGAATCCTAACTTTTGTTTTGTTTTGTTTTTTCAAATTGTACATCATATTAGCTTCTTGCGATTCGCATATTAGGATATGGATCTCGGGTTTTGATATGAACTTGTGTTTTTTTTCGTTTTTCTTTTTTTTATATGTCGAACTTGTACGGTAGCAACCAGTTTGACTATAGTTTTGGGGTCTAATACTGTAACTTTTGGATCCAGTTACTCTTGAATTCAGTCTACTATAGAATATGTTTTTTAAATGAGTTAATTGAATGGTTTAGTTAGGCTCTGTGCATGTGTTCAAGGTATCTTGGAAATGGCACGATTTGGGCTTTGAGGTCCACAAGTGCAGTTATTTTTGCTCTAATATCGGTTTAGATTGTAGAGTTACACGAGCTTTGCAGAATCAAGTCTGAATCTTTGTTCATTTATAGGTTTAATCTTTAGTTAACTTTTGGTGAATCTCAATTATGTTGCTTGACATGCTGCTATGTTGGTAGTGGTACTTCCTGGACCTCCGTGTTGATGAAAGTTATCAATTTCATTTTTCTTTCAACTGTGCCTGCATGTTTTCGTTTGTGCACAAATGTATTTGACTATCACTAAGTATTATTTTTTGGTTGGCCTAATATATAGGCGATGAGGATGTCGACTCCTGCAAGGAAGAGACTGATGAGGGATTTCAAGAGGTTGCAACAGGATCCCCCTGCCGGTATAAGTGGTGCTCCTCAAGACAATAATATTATGCTTTGGAATGCTGTTATATTTGGGTATGTCTCGGAAGGAGATTATACTTTGTTGCCTATCTCAGTTTTTCTTCATTTTGATGGTTTTTTCTTGAAATCCTGTACAATTTTATTTATGTACTTCATTGTTTGAATTGCAGGCCTGATGACACCCCATGGGATGGAGGTAAAAACTAAGAACCTCATATCATATTGCAATTGGATTTTTCTTCTTTCACGTCTAATTTTTAAGCTATATCTTGCATGATATTTTTGTGTTTTCCAGGTACGTTTAAGTTGACACTTCAATTCACAGAGGATTATCCAAATAAGCCACCAACAGTGCGTTTTGTTTCTCGGATGTTTCATCCAAATAGTAAGTTCGAAACAGAAACTGCACACACACATGTATGCACGTATTACGTTTGTGCATGTATTGGTACATATGTGTGCACATACAAACAGAAACATGTGTATGTTCATTGAGTATTGAATCATTTTACATCCATTTACTTAGCCAAACTAGCTTCTAATGGGTGAAAAAGGAGCTGAGCAAGGGAAATATTTGGTATTTGTTTTTAAGCTCCCAAGCATTTGTTAATTGAGTATGAATCACAAATCATCTTCACTTTCACAACTTGTTGCTTGCCTTTATAGCTTGTTGCTTTGGTTGTGTCATTTAATGTTTATATTCGTTAATATATTTTAAGAAATTAACTGGAATGCAATTACTTGGAAATATTTCAGATGTTTCAAGTTTTAAGTTCTGCCTTTTTGTGTGTGTCCCTTTTCAGTTTATGCGGATGGAAGCATTTGCTTGGACATCCTACAGAATCAGTGGAGTCCTATCTATGATGTAGCAGCTATACTTACCTCCATCCAGGTATTTGGTTATATTCTATTCGTTGCTTGGTGATTTCGAGTGCTTTAATTAATCATGACTCTCTTGTTAAGTGTGTGATGGGATAGGCTTCTAATTGGTTAAGACACCATGCACTGGCGGATCCAGTAATTTTCCTTCTTAGGGGCAAGAATTTGTAAAATCTGGCTTAGTATGAAGTGGCTAATGGAGCCTATCAACAACCTGTAAACTCTTACCTAATGCAGCTCAAGTCTTAGCCATTCCTTTGCCCCCTTGTACTGCCTTAGCCTTCTTTGAGGCATTTTATCAAACAGTTTGCCCCCATTCAACAAAAATATCATGAGAACTTGACACTTTCATAGGTGTACAACAAGGCTGAGTGGGGGCTAGTGCCTTCACTGGCTCCTTACTAGATCCGCCACTGACACCATGTATGAAATCATATTTCACTATCTTTGAGTCACACAATTGTAGTCTTTCAAATTCTGATCGTCCCATCTTGTCATTCCAATAGATAAGTAAACTCTGTAGCTTCTATTTGAGAACTACTGGAGCAAGGCATCATTGATTGTACTAATTTCTATTCCTCCTCAGAAAATATTCCGTGTTATCTGTTTTCTATCAACTATCTTACCAATGCATTCAACTGCACCTTCAGGCCTGATTATGTCTGTTACTTCTTTTCACAAAGTTTGCATACATATCCCTATCTGCTGCATCTCTCATTCCAAAGAGAGAATCCTAAAAGCTTGTGGATAATCAAGAGTTTCTTATTTCGCCTCTCGTAACTCATGGTTGAGGCCTGGCTGAAAAATTACTCTTGGTTACCACTTCATATTGCATAGACTTAGTAACCATCTAACCACACTTCCATTTTCCATTGTATGGCATATGTATATGCATGGATATTGTTTTAACACAAAACTTTTTAGCTACTCTCTCTCTCTCTCTCTCTCTCTCTCTCACACACACACACACGCACACACACACACACACACAAACACTTGTGCATGCATGCTTGTGGATAAATGACATTTGATCAATGTAAATAAATCAAATATAAGATTATGGAGGAAGTTCACTTTTTTTAGTGACCCTTGTTTGAGATGTTAAGTCATAATATTTTCTTATTGCAGTCATTGCTCTGTGATCCAAACCCAAACTCTCCAGCAAATTCAGAAGCTGCACGGATGTTTAGTGAGAACAAGCGTGAATACAATAGGAGAGTCCGTGAGATTGTTGAGCAGAGTTGGACTGCTGATTAGCTTACTCCTGATGGAGATCTTTGGAAAATCAGTTGAACATCCTGTTTAAATAACTTTGAAACTTGAAAACCATTGTGTTGTGAAGAACTTGACTTCTGGTCTTGTGAAATGTTTGCTTGGGCTTTAATTCAATGGCACTAGGCCTCGTATATCTATATGTTGGGCCACCTGCCGTGGGAGTTTTCTTCTACCTGCTGCATTTAATTTTGCTTTAAGCTATTCGAGCCTGTGGTTGGAGAAATTCTTGTATGCAACTGTTGTGTACAATTTCCCTCTCACAATATCAGGTCACGTTACCATCATGCGGGGGTGGTCTCAATTGTATGCAAATTGTATGCAAGATTTGTTCATGGGGCTGAGCAAAAACATGATTATTACTCGCTCTGGAAACTTAAACCAAAATATTAATCATGCATTTGAGTTTTAAAGTTGACGGCTAAGATGCATATGGCATGTTTGATTTGTCACTGTTTGAACATGAAAAGCTCTCTAGCTGGATTGTAATAATTTTGTGTTGATGAAAAAATTAGTAAGAATTCATTGGATCAAAGAATGGTGAAAACTTGAGACGTCCTAATAACTGTTAAATGTAAAACAGTAAACACGAGCTGTATTTACATTTTATTCATATAGAGACTGCCTAACAAGGAAGAGAGTTGAATTACATGCACTTAAAATGAAAGCGTGTTGTGTTGCTACTACATCTGAGCGCTGAGGTTGCCGCTGCTGGTCCATCCCTCTTGAACTTGAATTGAATACTGCAAGTTCCAGAGAACATTATCTATGGAAGGACGCTTGCTTGGATCTCTGCTCAGACAATTGACGGTGATTTCGACGGCGGTCTTCAATGACTGATACGCAAAACTTCCCTGTATCGACGGATCTATGACTCCTCGTAGTTTTGATGGTCCTTCTATTAAGCCTTTTTCTAACTGTTCATTGAAAGATGCAAAGAATGCCATTGAATTAGGTGTTGCAAGAACCCAAAAGAGCAAAAACAATAATCTGGGGTTTTTTTGTTTTTTGTTTTTCTATATGGTTTACCTGAATCTTTAGCTCATCCAATTCACTAGCTGATTTGATCAATCTACCAGTAAGAACTTGAAGTAGAATAATCCCCAGCTGATAAATATCTTCCTTCTCAGCTTCAGCACTGCGTATTTACGGCTCGTATAAGATAAATTTGGATGCTGCAGTAGAAAAGGAGAGGAACAAGAAGAGAAAAGAAATACCTGTTTAGATGAGGTTTACTGCTGCTAATACCCTGTCCATTAAGAGGGCTCTCTGAACCAATCTGGAAATTAGAAAATGCAATCGTTGGCGGCTACAAAAGTTTCCTTTCAAATTTGACAAGACAAGCATATATATACTGTAACATATTCTCACCTGAAATGGCAATGGAAGATTATAGTTACTGATTTTAGCAGAAACACTCTCATCCAACAATATGTTCTCTATCTTCAAATTATTTCCAAAGATGCCAGGTGCAACCCCTGTGTGCAAGAACTGGACCCCCCTTGCAATGCCAATGGTAACAGCCATTCTCTGTGGCCATTTCAGCCACTCCTTCTTTCTCCAATCTGCCAAACCAAAGTGTATTAGAATTGGTTTGAGTATTTTAATTAACCCTTTTCTTGATGATCTGATAATCGCTTTTTAGTTTGAGCTTTACCAGTGAGATGGTCCACCAAAGAGCCATTTGAGATGTTCTCAAGAACAATAAATACAGTGCTAGCTGTAGTTGGATGGTCCTGACAAGTGACAGTGCAGTGTCCAAGAAGGCTGACCAAATGCCTATGCCTCAGCTTTGACAAGGCTTCCATGCTCTGGTTCAAGTTTTGGGGTAACTGCTTCTGCTTTAATTTCACACATTTCACTTGTACCAGTAAACCATCTCTGAGCCAGCCTTTGTAGACCTGTAATGTAAATATTGCACAGAAATAATGCCATCAAGTTGATGAACAATAATGTTGGCTCCATCAAATAATGCATTCAAAGCCAACAAAAAGCACAAATTCAATGTTAATACCTGTCCCTGAGATCCTTCTCCCATCAAATTCGTGGCATCGAAATTGTCTGTTGCATCATCAATTTCTTCCAATGTAAAGACACGATATGGTGGGAGTCCAAGTGTTGGTAACCTCATCATCTGGGGCACACGCCCTGGAAAATCCAAATCAATGTTAATCAGCTTCAATGCTTCATGAACTAAAAACCATAAAGCATGCATCTTTGTTTTGTGTTTTTTTTTCAGTCATTAAAGTCAGAGACTTTCAAAGGAATTAAGGAAACAAAGAGGGCCTTACTTGCATCGATGTTCGGATTTGGGGAGCTTCGAACAGAAATTTTCTCAACCATGGATCTGTAAAATTTATCTTCTCTGTTCCTCTGCCCTGCCCTTTTGATAATGACCAAAATCAGCAACCCAATGACTGCAGCAGCACACACAACACCACCGATGACACCAAGTAAAAGGCCTAGCTTTATTTTTGACTCCTGCTCTTGAGTTTTAGCTGGAGGCTTAACAGCCAGTGCTTCCTTGTGGCAAAATGAATATGGATGCTGATACTTTGACTTCCCACCAGACAAACAGTTCCATGAATCAAGAACAGTTCTGTTCAAAGACTTTGATCCAATGCAAGATGGTAGTTTCCCTATCAAAAGGTTTTGAGAAATATCAACAACTTGGAGCTTCCCATTGCAGGTTGCATTGTTTGAGAGAGCACCACTTAGTTGGTTATGAGCCAGAATGAGGTACTGAATTGAAGGCAGAGAGAACACGAAAGCAGGGATTGGCCCTACAAATTTGTTGGAAGAGATGTCTAATTTCTGAAGCAGATCAAAGTTCCTCAATGTTGGAGGAATCTCAGATCTCATGGAATTGTTTCTTAGAATGATACTTACAAGACTATTTCCCAATGAAGGAAATCCAGGTCCTAGGTGGTTGTTACCCAAATTAAGTTCTTCAAGAGCAGCTAAGCTTTTAAGATCTGGCACACTCCCATTGAACAAATTGTCAGCCAAAACTATGCTTCTAAGATTCTTCATTGAACTGAGGGATGTAGGAATCTCCCCATAAATGAAATTTGAGCTAATGTTGAGCTCCTCAAGTGACCAGAACCTGTTGATCTTGGCTGGCAATGGACCCCACAAACCCAGTGACACCAAGGAAAGCACTTTCAAGTTGGAAAGCTTTGTGAGAAGTGTGAAGAAAGAATCAATGGAAAAGCTTTTGGACAGGGTCTGCTGAGAAATCGCAAAATTCCCTGAAACTGGTTTTGGGCTGTGAGAAGGGGAGCTTTTGTTTCCAATGACAGTTAATTCGGTTAGACGATTATTTGTACAGACAACCTTGAGAGAAGGTGTAGGAGGGAGGTAACAGAAGTTGGTCCAATTTGTCCATCCTTGAAGAGCTCCAGGGTATTCAAGAAGCTTCTGAACTTGGAACAGAATACGGCTCTCACTTGGAGTTAACTGACCAATCGAAATTGGAGTGAAAATGGCTAGAATGAGAAACAACAAACAGAAAGAAACCAAGAAATTCTTCATTATTCAGAAAGCTAAATGCACATGAGAGAAAGGTTGGAGTCATACAAATGAGATTAAGAACTTCAAAAACAGAGAACCCAGAACTGCAACCACAATTCCATCTATATAAAGTTGATAGAAAAGGCAGAATTTGAGTTCTGGGTTTCTCTTAGAACAGCAAATGCTTTAAGAAATGAATAGAATAAGAAGGTAGTAGGTAGCAGGTATGGAGCATCAAGATCTTGGGTTTGGTGTACAAAGATGACAAGAAAAGATTTACCAAGAAAAAGAGAAAAATTCTTGTGGGTGATGAAAGCAAAAGCACTCAAATTTCAACAAAAGGAAGAGAACCAATTATTGTGCAGAGAATGAAGGATCTGAAAAGACTGAAATTTCAAAATTTTAAGTGAAGCAAGCTGAAGCAGGAGACAGTGCAAGTGAGAGTCAGTCAAGTTCAAAGTAGAAAGGGACAATGCAAGCCAGCCAACCCAAACCAGCCCATCCTGATCCTGCGCTACGCAAACCATTATTTTAAGCTGCAAACTGGTTTATCTTTCTCAAAGTTTCAAACTTTCTACTGCCACTTGTTTTGTTTGGCCTCAAGTCAACTTGGGCTCTGATTCATTTGCGAGAACCTCGATGTTGACCACGTTTATTGTGGTAAACTTGCGAGTAGTATCTCAAAACTTACGCTCCATAGGCACTTGTGGTTCGTGATGGCCAGCTTGTATTTATTTGAGCTCATGATGAAACCACGAGATGTTCTTATTCACGTAAAATTGTTCATCATCATCATCATCAAAGTTACGAGGAAAAATAGTATTATGTTTATCATACCAAAAACACAAATCCACTGTTATGTTAAATTCAAATCCTTTTCGTGGAATCTTGTAGCGTGAACACAGGCCGAGCATTAAAGTGATTGTTTTGTGACGAAACCTAGATTAAGTGGGCAAGAGTCTAATCTCTTTACCGCTACTTAGTATGTGAGACCCCCTATGCCTTCGGGTTAGTAGTACTGGTAAGTGGCATCCCACCACCGACTATGAGTGATCCCTTTCAAGTGAGAGAGTTCAACTTTTGTTATTTTCTGAATGAAAAAGACAAAAGACCCCCCTCAAGTAATCTTTTGTAGGATTGTTTCAAATAATTGCTAAGAAAATTTGTTAACCAGAATGCCTCTGGCCCAATGTCGGTCGAAAATATGAGTCATCCGGATAATAAGTGGAGTGACAAATATGTATATGTCGTTTTGTGTTGATGAAGTTGTGTCGGTCTACGAATAAGAGGAAAGGAAAAAAGAAAAAAAAGAAAAAGAAAAAGGGGATAGAATTGGATACTTTGATTAAGACATACAATAGGTGTTAGCTCAACCTAATCCTTTTTTTGTTTGTTTATAAAATTAGATTAAGTCACTGGGATGCGGGTGGTGCTCCTTCCAGCCAGCCTGACACTTGTTTTTATCTATCTGTGTGTTACGTGTTTTGTTCTTTCTTATGGAACAAGCTTTGTTTGCAATTTGCAAAACGACGACTTGTTAGCGTCTTCAAACATGTACGTACAAGAAAAAGAAAAAGAAAGCCTTGAATTCAATGAAACATTAGTGAATATTTATGTGTTAATGTTTTATACAACTTGGTGTTACAATATTTTCATTTTCTTTTTTTCTTTTTTTTGTGAAAGATTCCGTTGAAGTAAAAGATTCTGAATTGTTTCACTCATGAGAGGTTCAAGGTTTAGTGTGCATGCGTTGCCAAACAAAGAAAGTTGCATGGGGAATTAAAAATACTTATCCTCCGTGAACCCAAATTTGCAATTATTGGAATTAGCTTCAACTTATACTTGTTTTCCAACTTATTGTGAACTTAAATGCAACAACTATTCCTTCAATCATTCGTATATGAGAGAGACCTTTGTCTTCAATTTCTTGAATCATTCATATATGAGAGAGACCTTTGTCTTTAATTTCTTGTAGTGATGTGATCATCAAATAATGTGGGAGAAAATAAATTTGGTACCAATCCATTATGGGACTGGATTTAGGCGCAACCCAATTCGTTATAGGATTGGATTTATGCGTAACCCAATGCAGGTTCGGATATGCATTAACTCAATGCGGGTTTGGATGTGCATTAGCCCAATGCGGGTTTGGATGTGCATTAACCCAATGCGGGTTCGAATGTGCATTAACCCAATGTGAGTTTTGATGTGCACCACTCAACATGGGTTTGGATGTGCGTCACTCAACGTGGGTTCACGTGTGCACTACCCCATATGGGCTCATACACGAACAATCCGACCTGGATTCATAGGTATATTCAAACATTCATACTCCCATATCTACATGAATTGCGGGATAAGACAAACAAGATTAATGGTTGATCCAGCATCTCTCAATGACCTGAAAATGACGAAAGTGGGCATAAGACATGCAAAGTAGAGCCTGTATCCCAAGACTGTCACCAAGTATAAAGGTGAAGTTTCATAGTCAAATGAAAGTATGCGATTTCAAGTTAACTCGTGCCCTCAAATACATACAAAAATTGACTTGAGCGTCAGAGTGCTTTTTGTAGGTACTCCACCCTCTATCATTTAATTTCAAATGAGCGTCGCTTAGAGATTTACTTATCCTTTGTGCATAAGTAAAGCCGAGAACATGTGGAAGATATTCTTATTGTAATAATTTATGCTGTAACAGTTGGCGCCTTATGTGGGAACTCTTGCAAAATCAACCAAAAGCTGAATCCGCACAAGACGCTCCACCTTGATCTAATCCCCTGATCACCAAATGTTATATCAAACTTTCAGGAAGGAGAACCTAGCCTCGCAGCCATCCAGCTTAAGAGGGTACTGAAGGAGTTGCGTGAAATGAAAAAGATGGAGACGAAAGCTTTAGAGAAGTTCAAGGGCAACTATATGTTGCATCCGAAAGGCCCTAAGGGAAGCAAAAGGAAATAGGGATAAAATTATATGATGAAAGTTCCATGAGAAGTATTCACTCCGATGATCAACACTATTACTATGATGACAACCACGACCAAAGAAGGGAATTAAAAAAGTCCAAAGACAGCTAGCTATGAAGAGAAATAGAGAATATTGTGATGGGGTACAAACCGCAAACACTTGCCGAATTGGCCGTTGAAGCTGCAAAGGGGATCTTTACATCGCCCTTCACCAATGATATTCTGAATACTAAGAAGCCCGCGAAGTTTGCTCAACACAAATTCAAGTTATTCATAGATATAACCAATCCCATTGAGCATATTTACCACTTTCAACAACAGATGGTCCTCAAAAGCAAAGACGAAAGGTTGTTGTGTAAACTATTTCTGTCTAGCTTATCGGGGTTAGCCTTGACTTGGTTCAGGTAGCTGAGGCCAAAGTCCATCAGTAGCTTCATTGAGCTTTGTGATGCTTTCATATCTCAATACTTGTGTAATCAAATTAGAAAGAATGAAATTACAACATTGTTCAGCACAAAGCAAAAGGTAGGCGAAAGTCTAAAGGATTATCTGAAGTGATTCACAGAGGAAATTTTTACTTTATAGACTTATGATTCTTATACTACGCCATTGGCATTTCGCTAAGGAGTGACGCAAGGAACAAAGATGCAACATTATTTCAAGAGGAGAACTACCTCTAACAACCTATTTTCTATGTCAGTAAGAGCCTAATTGATACTAAAAAAGAGATACACCCATGCATAAAAAACTAGTCTTGGCCTTGGTAGTAGCCAAGAAGAAGCTTTGACAATATTTTAAGGCTCATACCATTACAATGTTCACAAACCAACCTATTAAAGCAATCTTGTCCAATCCAGATCTGTCAGGAATAGTCGCAAAATGAGCCATCAAGCTAGTAGCATTTGACATCAGGTACCAACAGCGAACATCTCAAAATTGATAAATAATTGTTGATTTTCTTGTGGAATGCTATCCCAAAAAGGGAATGTAGGAGAAACTGAGTGATGCAAAAGAAGCAGGGTTTATCGAGAAAACGCTGTGGGAATTATATGCAGACGACTCATCCAATCAAGCGAGAGCCAGGGTTGGGATTGTCCTTTTATCGTAGAGAAAAGATTGAGTTAGAATACTCCATCCAACTAGACTTCCTCGCCTCAAACAATGTTGCTGAATATGAAGCATTGGTGTTGGGATTGAAGATTGCTAGACTACTAAAAATAAAAAAAATTGAAGCTGTATAGTGACTCCCAACTTATAGCCAATCAAGCAAATGAGGAATATACAGCTAAAGATGAAAAGATGGAGCCATATCAACGATTGTCAAGGCATTTGCTTAAGCAATTTGATAAGTTTGAGTTAATGCAAATCCCGAGTGAGCAAAATGAACGAGCATATTGGTTGACATGTGCGGCATTGGCCTTAGCTTCAGGAGAAGATTCTATAAGGGTCATATCGGTAGAGTGCTTAGAAAGCCCTAGTATGGAAGCCGACGAATTCAAAGTTATGCAACTAGACTCAAGTGAAACCTGGATGACGCCAATAGTAAGCTACCTAATGGTAGTAACACAACCCACATATCCAATTGAAGCAAGAAAACTCCGAATAAAGATCGCTGAGTACGAAATCATAGAAAATATCATCTTTAGGAAGTCATTTTTAGGTCATTATCTACGCTACCTAAGCTTATCCAATGCAAAGTGGACTCTGAAAGAACTATATGAGAGGACCTGCAACAATCACTTTGGGGGAAGAGCTTGGCACACAAGGCGATAATGCAAGGCTACTTTTGGCCTAACCTGGCTAGAGAGGTCGAGCAATTTGTCCGGAAATGTGATAAGTGCCAAAAATATGCGCCTATGATTAAGTGGCTAACATAAGAACTTGGCCCGATCATGGGACCATGACCATTTGTCTGATGGGGAATGAATATTGTGGGACCATTACCAATTGCGCATGGGGGGAAGAAATACGTTCTTTTTGCTACAAACTATTTCACCAAATGAGAGGAGGCCAAAACATATGGAACTATAACCCAGACTGATGTGATAAAATTCATTTAGCGCAAAATCATAAGCAAGTTTGGGATATCCAGAGCCATCATTTTAGACAACAGGACTCAATTCAACAATCGAAAGTTTAGGAAATATGGCATAGAGATGGTGATCATTCAACAATTCTCGTCTTGCATATATCCCTAAGGAAATGGCCGAGGGAAAAAGACAAACTAAACAATTTTTGATTGCCTGAAGAAGAAACTTGAGCAACGCAAGGGCAAATGATTTGAGGAGCTACCAAACGTGTTACGGGCATATTGAATCACGAGGCGAAAGCCAATGGGAGACAATCCTTTTTCTTTGGCCTATGGAATTGAAGCTCTTATCCCAATATCAGTCGGATCTATGGTGAGGTTACCAATCCCTTTTCTTTGGCCAATGGAATTGAACCTACCACTACCTTGAGGTTACCAATCCTCTGGGGTCATTCAATCGGAAACATACTGATCACAACATCATCCATAAGTTACCAATCCTATGGTGTCTCAATCGTGAGAGATCTGAAGATACTGAACATCCCAAACCTGACCCACCAAGTGATAATTTAACTACTGGATTCGTGCTTGAGTAAGGACAATCTCCTATCGGGTTAGGTTGTGCACTACAAAATGACGCAACTGCATAATAAGCTTCCTCTGCAAAATCATATCAAAGTCAGTATAAGAAAAGTAGTCATAATAAGGAATACTATTTTCGGGCTCAAATGATGAAGGAATAAAGATACAAGACATCCTTCATTTGATGCCAACTGCCAACATACCACTAATCAATAAGTACGAGTTCGGATTTAACTACATAGGGTGAAGGTTCAAAAAATTCAACACAAGTTGAAATAAGGGATGAAGTGGAAATCTAATGAACTTTAGGTGAGATGGTAAGAATAAAGGCTCATTCTAGGATTCCAACCCATGTGTACATGTCTATTTCCTTAGGTAACCGACCAATACTAACATCGTTAGGGATACAAAATTTCTCTTGCATCTTATTTATCTCAGACCTTGAGGGATATCCCCATTTTGACTTCAACCAAAGATTAAGTCTCGGTATTGAAGTAACAAGAAAGAACACAGATGAAACAAAACTTGCATGAGAGAGACAACTTGAGAAAGGGATGCGTACAACGAGATCAACTCAATGTGAGTTAGGTTCGGAGATCGACACAACCCAAACCGAATAAGTGAGACTTGAGGAAACCCGGTTTAGTAGAAACACAACCCCGAAACGGAAAGGCTCAAATTAGGTAAGTCTCATGAAAAGTCAAATTCGAGATAGTCAAAATCAACCATAGCCTAAAAGAAGTGTGATCAAAAGGAATATTTTTTTAGAGAAAAACAAGTTGGTTATTTGCATGGACCAATAAATAGCATGAGCCTAGTAACCATGAAACAACCAAAGAGCCTAAACACCCTATGTTTAAACAAATCAAAACCAACTACAGTGCACAAGTATCAAGTATGCACATTGAGCATGAGTGTATTGTGATTATATATTACCTATATGTATATGTGAATTAATTAAGTACGGTCATGCATATATACATATTTATATGCATATTAAAAGAAGACTTTTTATCACAAATGGTCCCTGAGGTTTGCGAAATTATCGTCTTTTGTCCTTAATATTTTTTTATAACATTAATGGTCCTTAAGGTTATACTCCACACATCAAAATGGTCCCTGAAATCAACTTCCGTAAAATTTTCTATTAAAAAGCTGACATGGCATATATGTAGGTCACACACCCAATAATATATAGCCACGTGGTTTTAAATAAAATATAAATATATTTAAAAAGAAAATTAAATTTTAAAAATATAAGATTAAAACTTTTTTTTAAAAACTCTCTCTCGCCCTCTACCTTCCAACCTGTCGCCTTACTATGCCAATCCACCTTCCTCCACCTCTCTCTCTCTCTCTCTCTCTCTCCTCTCTCTCTCTCTCTCTCTCTCTCTCTCCTCTCTCTCTCTCTCTCTCTCTCTCTCATTAGATTCGGGGGTGATGGTCAGCCAAGCAAAGAACTGGGTTGGGATTTGATGCAAGAACATAATCGGTTTCAATGGTTAGGGAAGGCGTAGGGGTCCAAATCTGGAATGTGTATGGCTCTTTGTTATGAACTTGAAATGGTTTGTAGTTGCTGTGATGGTAGAAGTTGAACTGGTGTTTAATTGTAGCTGCACATGAGTTGGGCATGTGATTCATTAACCCAGATACAGGTACTCAACATGAGCTGTGGATACTAACTATGAAATCTTGTATGTTGGGCTCAACTATGCAATCACAGTAATGAGAAATGGTGAGAAAGTTTATAACTAATTTCTTTGAGGCATTTAAGATAGGGTAGCCAAGGCTGCTCTAGAAGGAGAGATAGAACAGACGGAGAGGGGGAGAGAGAACATAGAGAGAAGATGGCAGAGGATGAGACGAAAGGGGAGGGTTGGCGATAAGTTTTTTTATATTTAAATTCAAGTCTTAATATTCTTTTTCTTTTTTTATAAAAAAAATTAATTTAATTTTTAAATATATTAAATATTTTATTAAAGCTATGTGGCACTATATTATTAGATGTGTGGCCCTACATACATGCCACATTAGCACTTTAATGAAAAATTTAACGGAAACTAACGGCAATGACCATTTTGATGTGTGGAGGATAACCTTAAGGACCATTAGTGTCACAAAAAAACATTAAGAACGAAAGACGATAATGTCACAAACCTCAAGGACTATTTGTGATAAAAAGCCGTAAAAGAATGCACAAGTTGCATATATATGGCTTAAGTAAACATTATGCATACATAAGTATACAACATGCACATTGGATATTAGTTGTCTGCTTCGTAATGCATGAACAAATCACAGTACATATTTACTTTATATATGGCCTATATTTTAAATGAAATAAATTTCATATATATATATTTATATATACTCTAGGCATTTGCTTCGCTTTATATATATAAGTATTTTATCATGAAAGTCTTTTTACATACCCACATATATAAATGTCACTTATGTTTACTTGAGGTACCTGTGCGTACACATAATTTATTTCTTTCGTGTACATGCATACAAACACATGAATATAATTATATATGCATGCTCATCACAAATGAATTAGTGCACTAAGGGGAAATTAGTGCAAGTAGACATATATAGATTATTTCATAACTAGTTGATACCATGACAACGAGATTATCAACGGCAAAGGAAACCACAAACACTCCGGATGTTTAGGAACTGCGACAAATTGTTTCACTTCAAAGAAGAACGGTGTCTGTGGTGAGATTTTTCCTCTCTTCCCTTCATATTCTCCTATTCCTTTTCTCCTTTCTTTTTGGTTTCCTTCCAATTGCTTCTATCATATACACATCTTCTTTTATAAATGGAGAAGAGGGCACACAATTCTAAAGGAGAAAGAGAAACATTAAATCAATGTTAGGTGTAAGGGCTTTGGAGGTTGAATTGTTAGCCCATGGAAATCCGCCACTTTTGGGGAGTCCCTTAAGTGCATGGTGGGTTAGACGATGCGTCTTGTCAAAGTGGGTGAAATGTAATTGCTGGAGCTGCAATTTGCTTTTGCTATCAACACAATGTTGCTAGTTGTAATTAGGTGTATCAAATTTTTATGAGCCTTTACAACGTTATTTATTAGGGTAAACTACAGTAAACCCCCCAACTTATAAGGTCATTTAAGAGTGCATACCCGATTTTGGGGACATTTACGAGTACATACTCAACGTCGCGGAAAACCTACAATTTGCCTCATTCGTTAGCCAAACTGTTAGTCAGTCTGTTAAATGCTGACATGTATGATGACGTGGACTTCCACGTGGAACAAAAATTAATAAATAAAAAAATTTTATTGTTTAAATTATTTAAAAAATCTCTCTCTTTCTCTCCTCGGCTTCGGGCTGCATCATCTTCTCTAATCCAGCCTAACCTCCAAACCACCACCCCCCCTCACGATATAGACCACCAAACCCACAAGCCTTCGATCTCGAAAACTGGCAATCGCTGCCATGCCTAGTTCGAGACTTTCCTGATATCCCCAAGCGACACCGTCAGCATCGTAGTAACGACAAGCCTCCGATTTGCACAAACCGACTAAGACAATGCAGCCTGAAGCCGAAGAGATTGCCGACACGCCTATAGCGATTCCGTCAAATCTACCACCGATGCTTTGTCTAGTTTTCAGAGAAAAATATGATTTGGGAAGTGAAAGTCGTCAAGAAAAACAAAATGGGCGCTTTGAAAAAATCGTAAAGATTTTGTCTAATTCTTGCCCAAAATCTTCTAGTTCTTCCTTATGTTTTGCTCTTTACTCTATTTACACTGTTGATTTCTCTTTGATCACCATGATCTTGTGACTCCATGACCTATATTCAAAAACCAAATCCCAACTTTCTCAGATGGGTAAAGATTCTGGGTTTCAATAAGTCCAAATCTCACTTTTACATCCAAAAACAAAGCTCTGTAAAGAAATATTCCTCACACCAAAAAGGATGAACCTGGCCTATTCTCTCTTTCATATATTAAATATCCCACGCTATTTTTCTTCTTTTATGGACGAGCTTTGTTACGGACAGCTTTCTGGAGAAGAAGGATGAGCTTTCTGGACAGCTTTTTGGAGAAGTTGAGGTGAATTGGGAGGGAGAAGGAGAGAGAAAGAGAGTTGGGTTTGGGGGTGGGGGTGGGCGACGGGAGAGGGGTGGCTGAGAGATAGGGTTGAGTCGGGAGGGAGATAAGGTTTGGCTAGGTAGGAGAAGAGAGATGAGAATTTTTTTTTTTCTTCATTTTTTAATGAATTTTAATATGATTTAAAAATCATTTTTAATATATATATATAATTTTTTTATTATTTATTTGTCCACATGTAAGTCCACGTTAATTGAAAAATAGGTCTCACTTTTGCCACATTAGCATTTAACAGATTCACTAACGGTTTGGCTAATGGAGGGGGCAAATTGTAGGTTTTCTTCGACGTTGAGTATGTACTCGTAAATGTCCCCAAAATCGAGTATGCACTCGTAAATGACCCTATATGTTGGGAGGTTTATTGTAGTTTACCCTATTTATTATTATTGTCTTATTGTTAAGAGAGTCTAGTACAAACCTGTACCTGATGGTCCAATATAACAAGGTTAATATCCTAGAGGGAATACGAGATGAGTTAAAATTTTCCTTTTACCCGCATGTAGGCACGAGTAGGAAGAGGAAAAAAAGGGGCAATGTAGGAGTAAGTAAATTCGGTACTAATCCGCTACGAGATTGGATTTAGGCGCAACTCAATGCGGGTTTGGATGTGCATTAACTCAATGCGGGTTCGATGTGCATTAGCCCAATGCAGGTTCGTATGTGCATTAACCCAATGCGAGTTCGGATGTGCACCACCCAACATGGGTTCAGATGTGCGTCACTCAACATGGGTTCATGTGTGCACTACCCCATATGGGCTCATACACGAACAACTTGACGTGGATTCATGGGTATATTCAAATACTCATACTCCTATATCTGCATTTTGTGGGACAAGACAAACATGGTTAAGGGTTGCATGACTCTCAATGACGTGAAAATGGCGAAAATGGGCATATGACGTGCAAAGTGGAGCTTGCATCCCAATGCTGTCACCTGGTATAAATGTGAAGTTTCACAGCCAAATGAAGGTATGCGATTTCAAGTTAATTAGTGCACTCAAATACATACAAAAACTGACTTGAGCGTCGGAGTACCTTTTGTAGGTACCCCCCTTTCTCATTTGATTTCGAAGGAGCGTCGCTTGGAGATTTACTTATCTTGCGTGCTGAGTAAAGCCAAAAACCCTTGTAAGATATTCTTATTATAAGAATTTCTGCTCCAACAATTAATATTATGTTTCTAATCATGAAATAATTTGAAGAAAAAATCCAACACTAAATGCAGAATGAATATTCCTTTACTATTTGAATTACAAAAGTGACCAAATAATATTTTTAACTAATTGCAAAACTAACCACATCACGAGTCATTGTATAGTGAGGGCCTTATAAGGCCCTTAAATGAGGTCCTAATCAATTTGATCAAACAATTAAGAGATAAGGACTTAAATAAAGCCCTCACCACAGAATTTTACATCACATCAAAGTAAACCTACCTAAAATTGGAGTCATTCTATAGTGAGGGCCTTATATATGGCCCATAGGTAATGTCCTATTTATTAAACATTGGATCAGACTAACTAATTTGATTTAACGACTAACCAATTTGATCAAATAATTAAGAGATAGGGCCTTACATAAGGACCATATATAAGGCCCTCACTTTAGAATTCTTGCCTAAAGTTGGGCTCTGGTATTGGGCCAGCGGTTTGTTTGTTTTTGGGTCAACTCAAATTTGGGCTCCCTCCGAATAAATAAAGTGAACCCACCTAAACGTCGTCGTTGTGTTCCCTCTAGTTTCGTGGATATCTTTCCATTTCCCCGTTAGATTTGCAAACTTTCCAATTTAGCAAAATTTTCAGGTGATTTCAACAGTGAAAGCAGAGCTCAGCTCAGTGGTTAGTAGAGCAGAGCAGAGAGCCAAATGACTCTGTGACTGAAGCACAATACTCATAGACCCTCTTCTTCTTCTTCTTCTTCTTCTTCTTCGTCTCCTTCGTCGTTTCCTGGTACTTCTTATTTTCCTTTCTCATTTTTCTTTGTTCGGTAATGGCGGGAGGCTTTAGGGTTTCCAAGTACTGCATTTTTGGGGAATGCTTAGATCGAATGGATTTGGTATTTCATTTGCTTTGAATTTTCTTTTCCCTCTTCATATTTGTTTATCAAATCATACCATCCTTACCGTTTATTGCATTTTGTGCATTCTTCCAGTAGTTTTATGTTTAACGTTATTTCAGTATATTTGTATATGTTTTTGTTCAAAACTTTTTTTTTCTATTTCAAGTTGAGGGTTTATATTTTAGCTAGAAAAAGCTTTCAATTTTGCTTCCTTGTGGTATATTCATTATTCATATTTATTGTAAAATTTCAGTTTAGGTTAACTAGTCGACGATTCCATGTTGTTTAGGACCCAAAATTTTGTTCCTAAATGGATGTTGCGTTTTAGCTTTTTATTCATGTTTAGAAGATCAACTGATCATTAGCTACTATCATGGCTCAACTTGTGTATATGCATGCAGGTTTCTACAAATTAAGTTTTGCCGGCTGTCTTTGACTTTTCGCAATGGGAAAAACTCCCGGAAAATGGATCAAGAATTTGCTTCTTGGGAAGAAATCATCCAAGTATAGTTTGTCCAAAGGAAGAGAGGTATTGCTAAGCTGCACATTGCTTTGCAATCAATTAGTATTCTGATTAAACAGCACTAAGTTGAAAAGGATACGAAGTTGTAATTTCATGTCGAGTTAACCTAGGAAAAAAGGAAAGCCTGTCAATTGAAATTGTTCTATATGAGCCTGATGAGAGCAGGGCTGACCTGAAATTTATGTTTTCGTGGCCTATAAGATGGCTGGTTGTTTAAGTAATTTATTGATTGAGCTTTTTTTTCCCCTCAATAATTTGGTGAATGGATAACAAACTCTTGAGAGTGACCGTTTGAGTTAGTTTGTTATGTCTATTTTCTTTGGCAAGTGAATTGTCATGTTATATCTTGATATTAAGCAAAAACATAAACCTGGAAGTTCAAATTTCATATTACACTATAGTTTTAAATTTCAACTCTTAAATAATTTTGTAGTTTTGTTATTTGTATAGTTGTTGCTGGTCATTAAGTTCTAATTTGCAAATCTGATTATTGTGCACAGAAATCTACAAATAAAGGGAAGGCAATTGTCTCTTCAAAGTTATCTGTGACCGAGTTAACTGTGAGTGCTCCCCTAATATCACCACCATTAGTTTCACCACCAGTGGTTGGGACTGGTGCTAGCAATGCAGTAGACTCAGAGATCGGTGTAGCTGCCAAATTGCCAAATGATGGGATTATTCTTTCATCTGTGAAGGAAGATGGCCAAACACAAGCTATCTTTAGTTCGACTTCTCAGGAAGATCATGAAATAATCAAGCAAGAGCAAGCCGCCATAAAGGCGCAAAGTGCTTATAGGGGTTATGTGGTACTTTCCTCCCATAGATGTTCTGCTTTTGCTTGACAATTATTATTATTATTTTTTTCACATTTTCTGTTGTACTTCTGTGAGATGATTTAAGTAACTGATGAATTTATTTTTGGCAACCTTCCAACCACTAATGCTTTCTATTATCTTTGAAGGCTCGCCGTGCATATCGAACCCTTAAGGGCATCATAAGGCTGCAAGCACTTATTCGTGGTCACTTGGTTAGAAGACAAGCTGTATCCACATTATTCTGTGTCCAGGGGATTGTCAAGTTGCAGGCTCTGATTCGTGGTCAACTTGCTAGACATTCTGATATTGGGGTTGAGGTGAATAAAAATCATCTGGTAATTTCTGGTTACTTTTCAATTGGCTCATGCATTGACTGGAGCTTAGTGATTCATGCTTTTTGACCAGAGCAAAAGCCTGCCTTTGTATTCTTTTATTCATAGTTTTTTGTTGAAATGAATATGCCAACATGATTTTTGTTATGTGGGAATCAGGGTGATTTATCTGAAGTAAGTGCATCTTCCCATGTGGAGAGGCTGTCAAAAATTGCTTTCGTTCAAAAGGTGAGATTACATTAGTATTGCCCAAGATACGGTTATTTTGCTTATTTGATATTCATTTCTTTAGTTCTTCATTATGGGAAATATACTGAAATTAACTTTGTTTTATAGAGTAACACAATCTATGACAGGGATTTTCCTTCTCACTATTGTCAGCACTGTGCTCTTGTTTCACTCTATTGGGGAATAGTCTGGTATCGTATATGCTTGTATTACTTTTAATGATGTTCCGCCAATTTAGATTATCATGTAGGGAAATAAGCATTGTGTCCTCAGCCTAAAAGAGATCCATGCAACTTATGGCCCCAAACACCAGTTCTGAAACTAAGTTATGCCACTTCCATTTTAAGCTTTGATCTTAAAAATAGGAGCATGATGCAAAATCTATGCCTGCACCTGTTTGTCACTTTTACTGCTGGTCTGTATTGGCCATTTGATTGCCAGAAAAAAGAAAATGGGCATTTGATTATAAATTTTCACTTTCAGCTTCTGGCTTCCTTGCCTACTACTAGTCCTCTACGTCTCCAATATGGTCCAGAGGAACCTAATTCGACCTGGGTGTGGCTTGAGCGTTGGACCAGGTCATGCTTTTGGGAACCTATTTTACAACCAAAGAAAAATCTCGATTCAAGGACTCGTAGGAAGCATGAGAAGGGTCAAACAATAGAAACTGAAAAAGCCAGGCCAAAAAGAAGTGTGCGGAGGTTGTCCAATACAAATGTTGAAAATGGGTCAAATAGTGCCACTCCAGATTCTGAAAAGACTAAACGTAATTTGAGGAAATTCTCTAGGCATCCAGCAAGCTCAGTTCTGGAACATCAACAAAATGAAGTTGAGAAGGTTAAAAGTAATGTAAGAAAATCGTCTGATCCCAAGAAGGGGGTTTCTGATCGGTCAGTAGTTGGTGATGAGAGATCAAAGCACAGTACGCTGAAGAGTTTGGCTTCTGCTGCTCCTGATGATTCAGAGCAGGGTACTAGTGAAGTTTCCGAGAAAATGAAACATATGGCAGTTGCAGTGTCAAAACACTCCGATCTAGAAGGAAGTGTGGATCTGCTGTCAGCAGAAGAACCAATGGAAAAGTTAGATGACCATCCTTCTGTTGACGTGCTGCCCATGGAGAACAACGTCAGAAATGAAGACAATCCTTCTGCTGAGATGCAACCCATGGAGAACAATGTCAGAAATGAAGACCATCCTTCTGCTGAGATGCAACCCACAGAGAACAATGTCAGAAATGAAGACCATCCTTCTACTGAGATCCAACTCATGGAGAAAAATGTCAGAAATGAAGAAGTTCAAGCAATAAATGAGGTGCCAAACTCTAGGGACCACTTTATTAGCAATGAGGATAAGAAAACAAGCCAGAGAAGGGCTTCTTTCCCTGTGAAGTTTGATCATCAGGAGAATGGTGTTCATAACACACCAAGAGTCCCAAGTTATATGGCACCAACTGCATCAGCAAAAGCTAGGCTGAGAGGACAGGGCTCTCCCAGGTTTGACCGAGATATGGTTGAGAAGAATGTTATAACCAGGCGGCATTCTCTGTCTGCTTCCACCAACACCAAGTTAACTTCCCTTTCCCCACGAGCACAGGGACTGGTTCAAGCAGCTGGCAAAGGAGTGATCAGAAGTGACAGATCTTTATCATCTTCAAGGGATGGTTTAGGTAAGTTGTGAACTCGAGGAGTTGCACCATGTGCTTTTCAGTTCCATGTCTTGTTGACACTTCTTTTTCTTCTTAATTTCCATTCCCCTATGCCCCCAACAAATTTCGAAGCTCTCTTGCACATGTGTTTGTCCTTCTATACATGACACCTATCTGTTCAAGCATTTATTTGCTCATGCTAGTGTAAGTTGGGGTATTTTCAGGATGCACATTGACCCTTTGGTCTCAGGGTCAGAGAAGACTATGTTGAATCTAAGCAGGACATATCAATTTTTGTATAGTTTATATAATAAAATCGTGTACAAAATTTTTTGCTTGCTTCCTTATGGATCACTTGTCTTGGTCATCTGCTGTATAAAGTTTCTTATCTTGTTTTTATTAGGGAAAAAAATATCAGTCTAATAAATTGCTTGGTGTCATTGGACCATTTGAAATTTATGGTATGCTTTCTAATTGTCCTTTTATTGTGGGTAATGCCAATTTCAGATAAAGTAATCCAACCTGAGTGGAGGAGGTGAATTCGGATGAGGTATTGCTCCATGGAAATATTTCAAGAGAAAAAATATCAACTCATTTCCAGTTTCTGGTTTTATTGATGTTTTCACCAAGGTATAGTTGAGACCAAGATTGATTTGTTGTGTAATCAGTGTTTTGAAGTGCCTAGTTTGTTCTCTTACTTAGCATTAGGGGTTGATTTGATAGGTCTTGGTGTTTGGATAATTTGTGTTAGCCTTGATCCTTTGTGATTTTCCGTGTCATCAAATTATGTACAAATGTGAGAGCTTCAAGCCTTTAAGTTTCTGGTTTTCTTTTGCATGTTAAACACTCGGGTTTTTCTATTGGAAATTGATATTTTGATGCCAGAGGCATGTGTTTATGACCTCAATATACGACCAACTGCAATGCTCATAGATTACTGTTATAAGGCCACAGTGACATTTACCAGAAAGTCCATTGCTTATGCAATGATTTTATTATTCTTAAAATCTTTTTCTTAGAGGTTGAAGTGCAATATTTTACACCTCAACTAGTCTAGCCTCAATCTGAAGCCACATCTCAAAGTAGTCTTCACAAAGAGGTTTCCCTCATATAACGCAGAAAGCATAGAGTGAAGTCCCAGCTGTCCAAGTAGGGTGAAACTTGGCCAGGCCAACTGAATACCCACTTCCGACGTAAATACACCCGTAGCTTGCTGAAATACCCCTATATACTGGCACCAGTATTATACGACCACAAAATTCTTCCAGAGTGCTTTCATAGCATAAATGGGACCATTCGAAGCTGCCGACCCAGCAAAAACAACGCCATTAGCAACTGTGACAGGTGCTTGGGCAGTGTCATTACTAGGGTTTGCAGTTGTCCACAAAATCTCCCCTGAATCTGCATCAAGAGCTACCCGTGCGCCAGCTGTTGTTGTCTGGCTTGAAGGTGCAAGAGTGAAGTTTTCTCGGTCGCCGTTGGCAATGTTTGTATACACTCTTCTCCCATCTGTGGCTGCACCCCATATGCCTCCTCCTTTGGACCCGCCAACTACAAAGTCCAGCAAATGTATTAGCCTCCGAGTATTCCACACTGATTTTACCTTAAGCAAAACACAAAACCCAACTCCTTTAGCAACTCATTTTACCTTAGACCAGACTATCGTTCCATTGTCACGGGCTAGTGCCCATGCAAACCTGCTTTTCTGCACGGCCACTACGACATCACGCCTTGTTCGGTTAGGGTGTATGGTGAGCAGCATGGGTGCCTCTCCGAAGTCGGCATCCAGATTAGGTCCCGGTGGGCAGTCAGGGTTGTTTGGTACCAAAGAAGCAAAATAGAAAACATCATATCCGCCAAGTTGCCTGGACCATACAATCCTCCCAGAATCCAAATCCAACGCCAGAATTGAATTGAAGTTGATATCTGGACCAATGCACTGATCAGGATGGGTAGGTTTTCCTCTCTGGTTATTCTGCCTCTCTTGACATTTGGTCACCCCAGGTGGAGCTGTGTAGAGGTTCCCAGTAGCCACATATACATGTCTCCTGGATATATCAATGGCGGGGCTGCTTCCCCACACTGCAGCTCCTGAGTAACCTCCCAATCTACCACCATTGTCCGGTAGCATATAAGTCCGCCATAAGATTACCCCGGTTCTAAGGTTGAGCTTCACAATGCTACCCCGGAAATTGCAACATTGTGCCGCTGGCAACCCTTCTTGCAAAGACGACACCCCAGCATAAAAGGCACTGCAAAATTGAAAAATACATTGACAAGCCTAAAATACGCAGAACAATATGTAAAAGTTGAAATATTTGAGTGCTTGACTAGTGTACTACTAACCCTAAGTGTACGGTTCCGGACATGGTGATAAGAACTCTTGGACGTGGGTCAAGTTGAGTTGACCACACAAGCCTCCCATTTGATCGATCAACAGCAATCACAAGAGTAGGTCCATAAATTCCAACGATCAAGAGGTTACCGGCTATAGTTGGGGTTGATCTTGAAACGGTGACGTTCACAACAACTCCTGTTCCATTGAGTCCAGTTAAGGCACCAAGGTTCTGCTGCCATATTAAACGACCAGTGAACGCATCCACAGCATACAAATATCCGTTCCATGAAGGAAAATAGACCCTTCCATCAGCTACTGCCGGCGTCGCAGATATGTCTACCAGCGAAAAATGACCATCTTAACCTCATGTTTAACACTGTCCTTTGGTTGATTAGCACTTCCCCAACAGCGTTCCTTCTGTTGGTAATGTCACCCCCGTGATTTGTTCACTGAAAACATATAATCAAAATTAGAGCAAAACAAACATCACATTGGAAGAATTAAGCTTAATTAATTAATTAATTAATTGGTACTTACAATGGCGTATGTGGCATCAAGAAGTGTAAGCCAACATACCACCATGACGACCATTTTAATGGTGTGATGGCATTTCATCAGATTTTGTTTACAAGCCATGGCTGGTGAAATGGTTCTCTTCTCTCTGGCTATGGATGATATAAAGTTTACGTGCTTGCTACTTTGGGAACCATTAAATCATTGGGTACCGGCTCTACTTAAACCCAACTTTTTCCTAAGTATGTCAACCCCTCCCATCTACTTACACCCAACTTGCTACTGGAAATCTAAATATTCCAGAAAATACCCCCATTAAGACCCAAACCAGTTCTTTTAGTAGACCTTTTCTTGTCATTGTACATTAGGGTAAACTTAATTAGGAAAAAAGTCAGGTTTAAGTAGCCCCACTCTAAACAAGCTATAATTAAGTTCAAAAAGAGCTGGTTAAAGTGACTGAGTTTCAGCTGCTTACCGTGCAAAAAGAGTTATAAGTTACAGAATTTTGGTCAAAAAAGCTTACTGTATTGAGGAAGCTGCCTTCACTCCATGATGTCATCATATAATTTCTTTCACAAGCTTCAATATTCTCATGTCATCCGGGCTTTTGAGAAAACAAGCAGGGAAGTTAATGAAAACATGGTTATTGTATATTGAGCATGAAAGAACACACAATTCAGAAGCATGATGACCTGCAGAGAAATTAAGAATGTTAATTAAAAACCGAACTAATCACAATTAGATTAACCACTTTGGTATAATCAGCTGGTCAGGTGGCAACCAGAGTTCCCCCAAACACTTCAGTGGGATGGCATGCATGGAATTTCACCCTCAGTTGAAGGGTTTTGGAAAGCTTGATCCGAGTGAAGTGGTCAGGGAAACTCTAGGGGACAACTGACTTTCATTCCCTTTGATCTCCGTTTCTCTTGTTCAATTTGGTTTCTGGGTGATCAAATATATGCACCCCATATTTATAACCTAAGGCTCTCATGAGTTCTCACTTTTCATGATTCTTAGATTAGATTTTTAGGTGGTCTAGGAGAACCATTGGAGATCGAGAGAAATTTGCAGAAGTGGGATTTTGGGCTGCAAGTGAACCTGGTCGCAATTGTGGGTCAGAATCAGATTCAGACGAAGGGTTTGAAGAAAGATATATATATATTTGAGGGGGGGTCATTGTATATATATTCTCATTGAGAGAGCTATGTATAAAACACAAATTAATCCAAGCCAGATATGCATTGACTTTATTCTAAGATATTTATGCTCTAAGGTATCAACGTAGGGATACTTAGCTATAAAAATTGCATTTAATTAAGGGAGCTGATTTTTCCGCTCATCTTTTCTCCACTTATACTCCCTTTTGTTTTGTTTTTTATTTTTTATAAATACTTTTTAATTAATTTTGTTCTTTTTTGTTCTTTCTCTTTCCTATTCTACACCTATCCTATAGTAATTTCTTTTTACTTCACTTTTATATTATTTATTTTTCTTTATACTTAATTTTCCAACTTGCATTCTATTTTCTTTTTCTTTATGCCGTTAAATGAACATGATAATATTTTTATTTTATTTTTAGAAGACCTATAATGCTTAATGAAGTTAATAAAAAGTTGAATTAAGCATTATTAGAAAAAAGAAAAGAAGGGCATAGTTGGGGAGGAGTTGCACATCGATTGTAGAAGTGGGAGCAACCCAACAACCATGTCAATCTCTATCCCCAACCATTTTCCCCACCGACACCCAAAGGCCCCAACTCTCCAAGCCACACTTACCTCCCCAACTCCAATGCACCCACCTCTAATATATAATAAAAGCTCATGCAGCCTTAGCACTCCGCAATGGTCCTTCCCACTTCTCCACCTGCTGAGCAATTCCTCCCTGTAGGGGGTCTTTTTGTTCCAGTAGCCTGACTAATGGGCTTGGGTTGCCGTAAGAAGAAAACGAACAGAAATTCCCCAAGTATATGAGTTCAGAAACCAAACTCCTGAAAGAGTTTTTGAAAGGTTTGATGAAACCTTAGAAAAATACCCTCAGGTTCTTTTCACCAATAGCCAAATAAACATGATAGATTGATTAATGGCTTTGCATGAGGAGCTTGTGGCATGAGAGCAAAACCATCATGAGTTTAGCATGAACAGAGAGAGATAATCGTGAGTTTCTTACAGTGAACAAAGGGTTAAAGTGGAATAGAGGAAGATTAGACAGATTTCTTTCCTAAGGGGGGAAGAGAATGAACGAAGAAGAGAATTGGGTGGCTTGAGTAAAATTTCCAGTTTGCTTGACAAAGCGTGATCAGGCCTTGGATGGGTTGGTTTTCTGGGTAGCTGAGGCTTTCTTTTATAGCCATAAAGAACCATAATTTCGTCTTAACTTTTCCTCCCATTTTTCATTGCTCATTTCCACTTTATCTTATTTGGTGAATTTCTCCCATCCAAGGAGCATGGGTAAGGAACCCTTTGTGGTTCCAAGAGTTTGACGCAGCTAGACCTTCCCATAAGGGGCGAGGCGCCACCTGCTTTCCTTATGGGTTTTCAAGATGGAGCTTCCAGAGGAAAGGAGAGATGGAGGGAGTTCTTTGTCCGATAGGTACTCGTCCTTCATGCACAGATTTCTATTGGTTCCTGCCATGGCTCCTTGTTTGACTGTCTTGGAGTTCTAATCAAAATGGAGCACGACGCCAGGCTTTTCATAAGGCTTTGGGCTGGGCTTGTATGTACAGTGTTGGGTCTTTAGCTTGTTACTTCTATCGTTTGACAGGTTTTCGTCAAGTTGCTGGAAGCAGTTTGCCTCCTGCATTTTTAACAAAGTATTTGGATGCTCTAACTAACATAGGGTTTCCTAAGCAAACTACTGTATTCTCTAAGGCATTGGGTCATGTTCTCTCTCTCTTATGCTAGCCCATGTGTTTGGGCTCAAGAAATGGGCTTGAGTTTTGGGGCTCCCAAGCAGCCCAAAACTTCCATTTCTTGGCTCATCAATAGGCCTCATGAAAGCTTGTTACCATCCATACCACAACCCACTCAAGCAAGCCCCGGACATTTGCGTGGCTTGAGCCCACTTAAGCTTGTAGCGTGGTTGGGTGTGAAATAATAATTTCCTGCTTATCATGGCATGTCAATCGGCGTGTTTTAATTTTTTCGTCCTTGAATAGAGGCATGATGCTTGACGAGGTAATTAGCATGGGCTCGTAGAGTTAGTGCTTATTTCAACTCTTAGCATGAGAGATTGCATATTTATTTGGCATGGCATGTGGTCGTGGCTTGTGTAAGCATGAATGAGGAATTTTGCATGCTCCGAACCAAGTCTTTTTCTTAATAAGGCATTATATTGGGCCGATAATTTATTTGGGCCCAACCCTGGATTTTTGGGCCTCAACACTCCCCTTCCTGACTAAACTATGCCCTTTTTTTATATTTCTCTTTTCAAGTTTTTTATTTTTATTTTTTCTAATGATATATTTTAGTTTAATTGAACTATTAATGCATTTTAAAATTAATACAACTTTTTATTAACTTCAAAAAGCTTTATAGGTTTTCAAAATGAAATAAAAAAAGATTATCATGTTCATTTGACGGCAACTTTAACGGAACATACCAAATTGATTAAACTGTGGCATATTTTGACTGGTTTGGGGCCAGATACTTTTATCAGATTGGGTCTCAAGTCGACCATGCCAGCTTTTGATCACTAGAACCTGCTGCAACTCCATAAGAATATATTTATTTTTGTGTGACTGTGATATCATCGATGGGGTCATGTATATATATATACCAGAAAATCTAGATGGATTATGATCGCTTCATATCAGAATTGAAAAAGAAAAAAAAAGGCTGTGGCTGTGGCTTTGGGAATGGAAATGGATAGATAGATTGGGATTGGGAATGAATGAAAATGAAAAAGGTATATAACTAGCTAGCATGGGGGAGGAGTGAGCACTCGCTTTCATTTCATGCAACATTTTATTCCCTACTGCTTATGTAGCCCACATAACAGTCCAGGTTCACCACCTACAACTTTATCCCCACATATTTTTCTTCCAATTGAATTCCAACCCAAAATACCACAACTAAAGGCCTCTAGCAACCACTATAAATAGCATAGATCCATGGAGTTATTACCTATTATATATCAAGCAAGAATATGAAGAACAAAGAAAGCAAATGTCAAGTCAGATGACCCCTAGAGTTCCCTTGACCACTTCATTGGGTGATGGACCGATAAATGATTTTTTCTGATCAATTATTTCTTTGATAAAAGCTCCTACTGAAGTGTTTGGGGGAACTCCTGGTATCATTTGATACTATATATCATCAAGATTCAAGATCGCAGGGATAAATGTAAAGAGTCTTATGCATGCAAATACAAATTATGCAATTTTTTTTATAGCTTTCTACAGTAATCTGATAATTCCCAGCTACTTTCTCATGCATATATATTATAAGTCTAACACTTGTTGGTTTTCTGTTCTGGTTTTTGATTTTGATAGGTAATGTGCGTTTGCAGACTGCTAGGAATATGATGATGAAGAAATGGCTTGATTAGCTATACATTCGCACAATTAATGTATCGAAGCAATTTCATGCTGGCACTCTTCTTAGAATTGCTTAGACTATGAATTTTACATGATTTAAATTCATCAGTTTTTATTTACTCCGACCATATTCTTCGTTGTGTTTGTGACTGAATGTCTTATGGAGTGCAAGTAACCTTCCTCTCATCAATTTTGCACGTTTCTCAATCAAAATTTAAATAAAGAAAAAGAAGAAGAACAAGTAATTTATGGACATTTTTCTCTATATATGTTTTGTAATGTTAGCTCCTACCTGAGTCAATATTTAACCCCAATGCCAATAGGGTATATGTGGATTACCAATTGGTCATGATAGTGAGTTCATCCCCTTGCACATAAATTTGAAACTCCTCCTTGAAAATTAATTTAGATTATTATCAATTGTATATAAAAAAATTGGGGTCAATGGGTCAATATACTTGAAATCTTAGTCAATTATGATTTCAGATTTTTTTGGGTGCTGTTAAACGAACATTAAAATTAACTGAGTACACAATATTACCAAATTATTCATTGAATTACTAATGACCAAAAAAACTTACCTAGATAT